TGTGGTTGTGTTTGTTGCTATTGTGGCTCATGTTTCCCCCTATTAGGGTGGTGAATTTGTCCTCCTAGGCTCTCATCTGATTGCTCATTCCTCGGATGCATTGTACAAGGTCAAAGAATTGGCGCACATCGACCCCAGTGGGAGCCACAGAGGGCTCAACTACAAGAGGAGGCGCGTTCACATGAGAAGGTGCAATGGTCGGGTTCATAGTGGGTGGGATGCCTGGTGGAGTCAAAGGTACTTCGATATGTCCGATGGTCACAAAGGACACTTCTGGGATCATTCCGAGTTGTTTGTAGCCCCCTGTGACTTGGTTATTGTTGTTATTGGAGGGTTGGTTGCTTGATGATGCCATGAGTATTATAAAATATTCAAAATGTGAGAACTTAGCTTTTCGTAGTGAATTTCCCATAGACGGCGCCAATTGATGTTGCGCGATCTGACGACTCTCACGTAGCAGATGACTCAGTCGTCAAATCAAATGCTTGCGGTCGATGGCCGAGCTGAGATGGTCGAGCTGTATAGTTCTGCAAAGGAGAGTGTTAGAGTGCCCGGGCTATTTTACCCGGGGTGGGCACTCCAACGCTTAAGTCAATAAGGGTTTCTTAAAATTCTTTAAGTGATTAAAGAATGCGAGAGCTTAATCGTGCGTACCTCTTCAAGTAAAAATGAGTCCTTTATATAGGTGTGGGTGCTCAAAGACCTTCTTGTAATGGGTCTTAGGTTCTCGCAGAGCCATTTTTGTTAAGTCAAGATAGTAATGACACCGGTTACGTAATCTATGCAGTGGGCTAAGGTTCGTACAATTGGCACTGATGCGCGTGATGCAGGTAGGTCGACCTAACAATCAACCCATTAATATTCCAAAGAACTTAGTCTAGCAACGGATCTATGTGACAAGTCGCCGGTAGTACTTTCATACCTCAGCCGGTCCCTAAGGTAGGTCACTCCTTGCTTGGAGGTCCTTTAGGTCGGCCAGGCCGAGGTACTTTTATGTCAGCCTAGCAAGGTGCTACCAGTCAACTTGCAGAGGTGATCTTCTTACTCAACGCCGAGGTGTCACTTGAATGCCACGAGTCATGATGTCATTCGGAGGACCAAATTATCCCTCATCACATGTAAAGCATGAATCCCTACATCCATGGCTTCCTTTCAATAAGTGCTACTATTGGCTTCTTGATAGGAGCGAGGAATATCTATAGAAGATAAGACAGCAGACAAAGAACTATGGGTTAAAGGAAAACCATAGCAGTCAGGAGGTCTAGATATACAAATAGAACGATGAAGAGGAATAGAGGTAAGAGGGGTATCTGAAATAATGGTGTTACTTACAGGAGCAGTGGTGAGATGACAATCTGAACCGAGAGGAAGAGGAGTTGCAGGCATAGGGGCTGGAGCATGTAACCACTTGCAAGAAAAGATGATAAGGTCCTTCTTAGCAGAAGGAGGTGGAGCATCCTATGAATAAAAGTTTGGCAATGTAGAAACAAATGATGCAAATAGTCTAACAATTCCAGCAAAAAGGAAATGTGCTCAAGGAAAACAACATTACGTGAGATACGAATACGATGAATATAGGGATAATAGCAAAGAAATCTTTTGTCGTCAAGATTGTAGCCCACAAAGGCGCGCATGACAAACTGTATAGACAATTTAGAACATTCATGAGAAGGAAGATGAACAAAGTACACACATCCAAAAACATGAAGCATAGATAAATCCGAAGAACGACCAAACAACTTTTGAAAAGGAGACATATTAACAAAAACAAAGGAAAGAATATATAGTTGATCAAAAACATAGTTGTACTGGTTGTCTCTACCCAAAAAGAAGATGGAGCATGGGACTCATGTAGTAATGTCCTTATGACACCAAGGGTATGTCCACTATTGCGCTCGACCACACCGTTCTGCTTAGGAGTATCTGGACAACTTCGTTGTACCTATATTCCATGATTCTTCAAATAGGATAAAAAGTCTCCATCGATGTATTCTCCTCCTAAATCTAAATGGAAAATATGCACTTGTGATTGAAACTGAACCCGTACCATAGCATGGAACAACCTAATTGTTGGGAACACCTCTGACTTGTGGCAAAGAAAGTATATCCATGTGCACCTAGTACAATCATCAATGAATGATGCAAAATATTTGTATCCAAGTCGAGAAGTGACAAATGCAGTCTAGACATCACTATGTATAAGCTCAAAGGGAGAGGTAGCATGCTTAGACATGTGAGGAAAAGGTAAAGTGTGACTCTTATTTAAACAACAAGAAACACAAGATGTATCAAAGGTCTGCAAGGAAGGAACTCTATTCTTAATAAGACCTGAATCAAACAAAAATTTTAATTTTTCAGCATGTATATGACCCAAATGTTTATGCCATAAGTCCCTGTGACTTAGGAAGGAACTAAAAGTGGAGGAACTAAAATAAGCTAATGATGTTGTTGTTTGAGACTGCTCGAACTCCAATGCAAATAGACAGCCCAACTTGCGCCCCTTCATCAACTAACTAGCCAACAAAAATCAGATTTGTAGTGAGATCAGGAACAAGATAGGTTTTTTGTAAGAGGGAAAGATGCAATGGGCGAAAGCTTAAAAGACCTATCATTACTATCAATGATGTTTAACTTTTCACCATTGGTAGTAACAATGTGTTTGTGATGGGTTTTAGTAAGGTTACTTGATTGGTTAGGGTAGGCTCTTGCCATATGGTTGGTAGATCCAGAGTCAATGATCCAAACATAAGAAAGAAAGAATAATAACTGGAGAACTCACCAAATAAGCCAATAGCAAAAAATGCATAAAAAATAGCATATGTTACCCGTTGTCGAATGTTTTCCTCAACTATAGATGCTAGAGAATCACCTTTAACAAAAGAACCACCACCAATAGAAGATTTCTTACTCCCATGTGCTACAACAACAGTGTCAATCCCATAGGTTGATCCATCCAGTTTCACAAGAATAATGTCAACTCTACCAACAAGGAAACAACAGTCCAAACACAAGAGTATCAGAGAAAACCAAATCCAGCAATAATCCATTGTAGTCCAGGGGGGAAGAGAAGCATTCCAGTACTAGAGGAAGTCAAAGGACTCCAAAAAATACCACAAACAACTTCAGCAATTAAGAACTCAGAATTGATAGTCCAAAAAAAGGCAAGGCTCTCAGACAAACCGAACAAAGGAAGGAATCAAAACCTTAGCAAATCAACTCCAAATAGAATGAACCTCGTGTGAATAGTTCTCACATGAACCGCACGCATGTACAGTACGTGAATAGTAACCACGAACAGTAACTCGATTGTCGGTCTTCCTTTGTTAATCAAATTAATTCCCATAGTAAACCTACTTTGATACCATGTCAACACTCTTGGCCCAAAAATAAATAAATAAATAAATAAGAGAACAAGAATAATCTTAAGAGGTGTCTAAAATAATTGACCCTCACCTCAAAGAATTTATTATATATTAAAAAATATATGCAATTATAAGAATGCGCATATAAAGCTGAAAGAAAAAATAAATAAAGAATATAAATAATATAATATACAATAAAGACTATACAAGATATATCAAATCACAGAATCTCCACATCTTACCCCACCTTGTTGCCATTCCTACTCCTCAATCCTCGTTGAGGGATCAGACCATAGATCCCGCTTGCCGCTTATAGTTAACCAGCAGATATCAAGTGTGAATTATGCAACATATCTCTCAGTATGTTATTTTGCTCCACAATCTTCCTTCACGTTTCAAATAAATATGCAAAGTATCCTTTTTTTAGAGACATTGAAATTATTATTATGCCTTTGTTATGAATGGGCAAAGTGGACACTCTCTTTAAATTGCCTGAATATAGTGTTTATGCTAAATGTTAATATGGGAGATTTAACCCAAACCCCAACTTAGGTATTTGTTCACTCCATGAAAAAAAAAAACATTGAAACTCAAATAAATTGACTTTTTGAAAGATTCAATAAATCTCAATCCTAGGAAAGGTTTTAGTGGGCCCCAAGTTGTTGCTCACGGAGGCCTTTTGTGTCGGTTGGGGAGGATTTTCACATACCTACTTGTGGCATCATATTAGCTAAGAAATCCAAAAGGTGAAAATCCAGAAAGCTGAAAATAGGCTTATATGGGCTCAGAAATTGATTTTCCATTGAAGTTATCGTAAGTAGCTTTCCAAAGTGGTTCTATTGTGTAATTCAATATTTGCAGAAGCCTTCCCAAACGGACTCTTTATATATGGAGTCCAAAAGTCAATTAGTTTAAACTTTAAATTCTAAATAAAATGCCAAAATTAATCCCACTCATATATGTTTTCATTTAATTTTATTGGGATCTATAGGATTGAAAAGCTTGAAAGTATACATGAAATTCATGCTCTTTTTGAACTTCAGTTGACCCCACCCAAATATGTGTCATAAAATATACCGAAGGTTAAAAACATTTTCTTTTTTTAATTATTAAAAATAAAGAATAACTATAATTTTTTAGGGTAAATTGCTTAAACTTGTCCTATACTTTTTAACAATTGTGTGGTTCAATACCCCACTTTACGTTAATAGAACTGTCCTTCCCTAAACTTCGTGACATTGTTGTATCTACTCCCCCTCCATTAACTAACATTAGATTGTTAATCAAATTTGCAGATGTCATAATCTCAATATTTTTAGATGTTAAGATTGCCCTTAAATGAAAAAATGTGGTTTTCAAAAATATATTTTAGCCAAAAAATCAAAATTACAATATATATATATATATATGTATATATCGAGTAAAAAAAGGTAAAATTTACAAAAATAAAATATAATTTAAAAAATAAATATAATTTTGACAAATTATACAGGAAAACACACATATTTTATGAATTTTATGGTCATTGAAAAATTTAGAATTCAATTTACCATTCAAACGGTCAAAGCTGGGTATTTTGATAATTTTACCCATTTTATGAAGGGGTGTAGATACAACAATGTCAGAAAATTTAGGGAGAAGCATGATATGACATTAGCATAAAGCTGGATACTAAAGTGCAACTATCAGAAATTACAGGGGAGGTTTAAGCAATTAACGTTTTTTTTTTGTTTTATTTATGCAAAATGCACGTTTGATTTGATATGGAAGAAGTTGAAGCGGTGGAGGTGGAGGTGGAGGTGGAGGGAGAGGATGGAGAGATCGCTCCAGTAATGATAAAATCAAGTGTTAAAATTTTGTGGGTCAATCCACCGCCTTTCCGCCTTTCCGCCTTTCCCTCCAATGGCTTCCCGCCAAGTCCGACGATTTATGCCGACGTGTGTTCTGTGATCTGTTTCTTTAAGTCGGCTCGGAGGAGTAATGGAGTATCAATTGATCTAACCCATGAAGCAAAATCCTGAACGAACCCACGAACAAGAAACCCCAATTAGCTATTCAGTTTCGGTTCTCAGCTCGGCTAGGAGGAGAAGGCCAGGACAGACGAAAACGATGGTATATGGTTCAGCAGTAAGACACAACAACAACAACAGCAATGGAAACTCCTTCCATGCCTTTCTTGAAGGCTGGCTTGTCCGTCAACAACAATTCCTCGACGAGATTGTCTATGCAAAACGCTTCTGCCACGACGATTCACGCGAGCAGGACCTTAGAGATCTCATCGCGCGGGTCCTGTCACACTACCAACAGTACTTGGGGGAGAAATCCAGAGCGGCTCACAGGGACGTGTTCCTCGTGTTGTCGCCCCCCTGGTTCAGCTCCTTAGAGCGGGCCTTGTTCTGGATTGGCGGGTTCAGACCCGGACTGGTGTTCCGGCTCGTTGCCAATTCCGTTGGGGACCTGTCGCAGGACCAAGTGCAGTGGATGGAAACGCTGAGGGCTGAGACAAGTGCGGAGGAGCGGCAACTGGAGGAGGAACTGGCGAGGCTACAGGAGAGCGTTGTGGCGCCACCCCTGTCTGAACTTCTGAGGCGGAGAGGGAGGGCGGTGAACGGGGAGGAGGGGAATGCCAATCCCGTGCTTGAAAGCATGATAACTGAGTTCGAGATTTTGCTGGGGAGTGCAGACATGTTACGAGCAAACACAGCAACCAAAATGATTCAGATACTAAGCCCTGTTCAGACTGTGAGCTTTTTAGCAGCCGCAGCGCAGCTTCAGCTCAGGATTCGAAGGTTGGGTTTTCAAAGAGATGCCGAGCGAGAGGGTAAATAGAAACCGCTAATACCCTCTCTCTCTCTCTCTCTCTCTCTAACCGGCAGAGTATTCTTTCTCACAACACACAGTTGCACAGTTACACTTCATTCACTACATCTATAACCGGCGTAGTCTTCTGTCTTGTGTGTAACCCACTAACCTGTGTGGTGTTTGAGCCGGGACAAATTTTTTGTGTTGTAAGCGTTTGTAGACCTTGATGGCTCCATAGGGATAGTTAGATCCGGCTAGACATGGGGATGGGGCACCAAAATGACCAACCTCTCCCCTTGAGTATAAGATGCAACTCATAAAGAACTTTGATAGCCATTTAACCATTAATCGGGGCCATCTCACAAGGTAATAAGAATGTTGAGGGTAGGCATCCACCACCCCTCAAAGAGGCCATTTAACCATGACCAAGGCTTTTAAAACCGGATTGGAGATGGAACCATTTTGGACCGGTTCCTAGTTTGAACCATCCAATCGTCCAGTACAAATGGATGGCCCATTTTGACTTAAAAAATAAAAACTAATAAAAAACGATCAAAAACCATTGTCCGGTTCAACATTTCGATCACACGGGTCGATTATCTAGACAATCAAACCATTTGGCCTGAAAATCATCCAACTGGTTCCATTTCACCCTTAATTCAGTCCTTGGCCACTGTTGATTTGGTCAGCGATCCATTAACCTATGGTCCAACGGACAACCCATTCAATGGTTTTTGGCCATTTTTTTATTTTTTAAGATGAAATGAAACTTGACACCCAGGTGGCAAATCCGAAAATAGGTGGCAAAAACAGTTCCAGTTCCAGGTCGGTTTTTAAAACCTTGACACCCAGACCTACTCTTAGGCGGCTATGTGTAGTCAGTGGAGAGCTAATGCGCAAATGGCATGGCTCTCACTCTCTTAGCATAGCGTTAAACCAATTTATGTATTCAAATAATACCTCTCATTCTTGAAAAAAAATATTTTTCTTATAAAAACATTCAATACTGAGGTAAGAGGTTAAACTGATTATTATTATAAACAAGGAATTAGAATTTTACTCACTCACCTAGGGATTCTGATTGGTTAAACTCTTAGGTTCCGTACAAATTTTCTAATACCCTCTTCCATCATTAACACTACGTGACTAACCATCAATCCTTTTTATGCAGAACAATTTTAACACTGATAATATAAAGACTTGAGAAGAATTGAAACATGGCCTCTTCTGACAAAGCCATCAGGCAGCTTCAGAGGTTTTGAGGAGCTTGAAAGGATTTGAATTTCTAGGTACAAGTTCAAGCTTAAACTCCTAGTTTGTACATTTGGCTATCCAACAAAGGGTTTCATGCAGTTGAATTTGGGACATTTAATGACTTAGGTGTAAAGGATATTTTCTTTGTTGTTTTGACTACAAGACAAGAAGACCTTAAGATTACTAAAATACCTTCAATTTACATACTTACCCGAGAAAGACAGGGAAAACAGAAGCTGGTTCAAACTTTAAACATAATACAAGCTCATGATCCTGATTCACAGAAATTCTCATGCAGAAAATAAGGTCATAAGAAATTCGGTTCTGAAGCTAGACTACTCCCCAGTGATTACAAAAGCTTCCCGTAAACTACATGAATATGAAAGTAGCATGTTAGTCCCCACCCACCACACTGGAAAATTTCAGGTTTCTACTACTACCAATCATAAGAACGATGGATGATGTCAACTAGGGAACCAAGGATAGTTGAGAGTCCACTCTTCCATAGTGAGAAGAAGCACACAGGAAGGGAAGTTTTACAAATACCTCTTCAACAGTTCCACAGCTACTCAGATTTCAGATCTTGGTTTGAGATGTGGTATCCATTTCCATTTTGTTCACAGCTGCCTCCCCAGTCCTTCAACTGGTTACAATGAAAAGGAAACAATCAGAAAGGAACCAAACAACGTAATAAATGAATTCCAACATGTGAGACTGTCTCATACCAAATTGACAAATGTAATATCTAATAATAGCATGCCCAATAATAAAGAGGGTTTGGGATCCACCACTGGCTACATTTGACCTAGGAGAGGGCCCTTTTGGGAGGGTTGAAGCTTTGATTGAACTGCTGCTTTAGAGAAGCTACTAGGGCCAGTTTGGGAGGGCTTCTGCATTGACTGAGCCCCTTTCAGAGAAGGTAACTAAGATACTGATTTACTGGAAAGTCCTTTTTTTTTGGCTCATGTAAGCCTATTTTCGGCTTCCCGGATTTTTACCAAATATAGCTTCATGGCTTTCCGGGTTTCTCAGCCTTTTTTTGGCTGAACCAAAGCAAGCATGGTCTTTCCGGAATTTCCACCAAACATTGCTTCCAGGCTTTCCAGGTAGGGCCCACCTAGCAAAGCTAAGACCTGCCACCTGATAGCTTTCCCAAACAGGCACAAAATCTCCTTTGAAGATTTTCCACACTCTCTGCATCAAGAAACAAGTAGTGGATCCTTAACCCCTGCATGGAGAAGAAAAAAGGGTGTCGACACTGGACAGACGGCCTTCCACCCCAAAATATAAATTACACTCAACCAAAAATGAACTTCCAACATATAGAAACAAAGGGAGCCCCCGGCCCTCACCCCATAAAGAAACCAACCAGGGGTAGTTCACAAGGATTGAAGCAGGTTTACCTTTTTAAGGTGCTCCTTCTGGTAACGGTAACCCTGATCAAATGAATTGAAGCAATATGTTAGATTTTCCATCAGACTCGTACCAATGTGACTAAATTTTGAAGATTGCTTTTGACTAACCTTGTCAGTGCCATAAATGTAATCACAGTAGGTGAACACTGAAGCAAAGTTGCTTTGACTTTGACCCCCGACGAAATGATGGTAATCATGGTACTCTGCTCCTCCATAGAAAGGAATGTACTTTGTGGGACTCCAGGGGAAGTCATACCTGTACAACAGTGAAAAATTAAAAAGTTGCTGTGAGACCCTAATAGCTGCATTTGAATGACTGAAAGCTACCAAAGTGTAGCCTGTGAAAAAGAAAAATGAGGAGGTTCCCAATCTTATCTTACTAGTATTAAATTGCATCAGAAAAAAGTTCTATCATGTGAACACTTGCATCAGCTTAGTTTAGTCACTTGTGAGTGATTCATAAACAATAAGATTAATTGTAGCAGAAATTATTAACTATAATAAGAAAATATTAACCTAAATTTAAGAATTAAAAATGCTCTGACATATTCATACAGTATGAACTCTGATCTTTAATCAAACTATAGAGTGCAATTGCAAACAGCATAAGCTTAAATGGGAAACTTTTATAGTGACAGACCATAAATGGATAATGTAACCAACAATCAGGACTAAACATTTAATAGATCCCATCACATCCACTAAAAGTCAGCATATTCAAAACATACTCTCAATGATATCAAAGACTTTGTTCACTTATGAGGATGAAGAGGAATTGCATTCCTAGGGAAAAAGGAAAGAAAAAACAGAATCCAATTTAATGATATCAAAGACATTTTTCACAAGCCACACCACTAGAATAACAAACCAACTTCTCTTTCAAGAAAATAAAAACCTAAACATACTCTTAATGGAAAAGATTCAAACAAACTCATTTTGCATCATATGCGTACATCCTATTCATCCTTTTCGTGCATGAAGTTCATTTTTTTTTCCAATTTGCAAAACCTTCAACCAGTTGGAAGGCTAATTAATAACTTTACAAGAATACCTACCATGTTCAACTCTGCACTGATTCAGTCACTAGTGCAAAAGCTATATGAAATATGATATGGGCATCAGAATATGTATTTATGAGGTAGAGTCAACAAGCTAGTAGATAGATTGTTTTAAACTGATTCCACAAGCTAATCAGCCACTAATAATCCAGGAATACTTGAGATAACCTTGTTTCCCTTTTGCATTCCACAACTTTTAGACACAATAAGACCTTCATCTTTTCCTTAATATATAGAGTTTCAAGGTTGGAGCAGTGTTTTAAAAGCAGAAGGGGCATTTTACACCCAAGGCGCGAGGCACACACCTTTTCGAAGCAAGGTGCAAAAACGCTAAAAAAAACTAGAAAATTCCAAAAAAAAAAACTTAAAATATGCAAAAAAAAATGTTAAACATAATATTAATTAAAAATATTAACTTAAGTTATAAGATAAATGTTCTAAAACACCTATTATCTCAAATTAAAATACATAAACATAACATATAAAACATATATAAAATGAAAATTTAAAAACAAAATCAAGTGTAACATATAAAACATGTTCAAGCATGTAAAACTCTCAATCTCTTTATTTTTATTCCCAATTGCATTACTTCAAATAGCTGATGGTGATGTTAAACATTATGCATTCCTAATTCTATGAGCGGCCTTTGTACCAAGATTTTTTATCATGTTGCTCATTCATTCATCCCAATAAAAGATATTTCTAGAAGACAATAGGGATTAAGAATTTAAGACTCTGATATGGACTTGTTTGGTCAGAGGTCCAGGGGCAGAGCCCCCAGCTTAGCCACTTGACATAAAAAAAAAAAAAAAAACAGAAAATTGTGTACAAATTTTCAAAAGGTGCACCAGCTTAGCCTAGGCTGAAGCACAAGGTGCACCAGGCATATGCCTTTTGAAAGTGATGCACTTGGGGCCTAGACGAGGCGCATACCCTAAAATGCACCTTGCCTGTGCGTAGGCACGCCCAAGGAGTGGCTTTTTAAATCACTAGGTTGGAGTTTACCATGTAAAGTTGCCTAACTGTCAATACCACTTTCAATCAACCACTATTAGTAGATATTATATCCTAGGGTTGTGTTCCATGAGATATTTTTTCCATAGTGACCAGTTTGATAATATCTACTGGATTGGGCTGCACCTCTTAAAAATGTATTGCCATCCAAACCAAGCAATACAGGGTAGATTGCTTTTGCTACTGACACAGGTGGCAGGAAGTTTGGGGAGGTTGTTATAGGAGCCTTTGTGGTTGCAAATTACAGAATTAATCAAATAAGTATAGTCATTTCACAGATAAAGTGCCTTGTCAAAATTAAAGGAACCAAACAAATCCTGTGACCTGAACAACACAATCAAATATGCATAGTATTTCTTGCTACACCTACTTATCAAAAAAATAAAAGATGCTTTTTGTTAACACCTAGGTGATGGTAGAATAGCAGAGGAGCATCAGGAAGATTAAGTGGAAACCTATTAAGGGAATGACAAAGAAAGCATCAACAAGTTTTGAGTCTTTTGACTGACTATCGATGCATCAGCAATTTAAAATGCATGTATAAGTTCCATTCAAATTGCATTTACATCAAAATAGATTATCATAACATTAAACAAAGTAATCAGAAATTTCAGTGCTAGAAGGCCTGTTTATCACAATTGGTAAAACTAATTAAAGGTTCCATACTTCCATAGGACAAATACTACAGATTTCACAAGGAATAACAAGTCACAGTAATTATGCAAAGAACAGTTATTTTTCTTTAATCTGGATGATGATACATCCCTTTGCCATATTTACAGAGGACAGCTCAAAGTTCAGACCAAATGATACTGTTTTTTATAGGCTAATGGAAACAAATTTGAATTAATACAAAAAGACGGATAGGTTCCCTCATGAAGTACTTACAAAAAGAAGTATCTGTAACTATGACATGTACACGATATCCACAAAAAGTTAGCAGCCTCCATATATAATGATATCCCAATGATTTATAAACATACTGTCCATAATGCCCTCAAAAATCTTAAACACACCCACCCACCTCCAAAGGGTCCATTCTATTTACCCATAATCTGAATAGATGAAGAGGCTTTGGCTTAGAGAGAGAGAGAGAGAGAGAGACAACACCCAGCTAAAGGCAAAAGATTCCGCAAGATTTTACCATGAGCAGAAAACCCCCATCTCCAAGAAGATAACAGCACTGCTATGTTGGGTGGAGTAACCCATTGCTGCTTCTTGAATAAAGAAAAGAAATGATCACATAACAAATATGACTATTTATCATCAGCAATATAATGTCATAATAATCTATACTATTTTAATGTACGTTATTGTGATTAAGCATGGTATTTCCGATTACTCATGTCTCAATGGCTTGCAAGGTTCACCAAACTCCACAATTGGCCCATCTCAACCTCATACTGACATGCCACATTGTATATAACTTTGAAGTTGGGCAATTCAGAAGAAAAAGGAAGAAATAAAAGAAAAGAACAAAGGGATCTTGACACTCATGCAAATCTATTCTAGACCTTGCCACAAAATTCTACCAATTCTTTATTTAATGGTTTTTGTAAGGGTTCTTTACAAAAATTGAGTCTGCAAAGTTTACTATGTTATCAATATACATCAGTGTTCCCCAATCTAATCATCTAATTAGATGCCACCATAGCATAAAATTCTTATCCAAGATGAGTTGCACATGGATGATGATCTGAAGTTCTAGCGCTTGAATTTCTTATATCAATTTCAGTTTTCTCCTAACAAGAATGTGGAAATCAATGAAGTGTAATGTAGGCATCCAAATGAAAAGAATTAGAATTGGGGTTCAACTTCTTCCTAATTCTGTAGGCTCATCTAAATAATTTGTATTCCAATACTATGAACCAAATGGACCCTATGTCTCTATCTTTGTTGACAAATTGAAATTTAAAACCCATCAAAGCATTTTGAGTTGGACAATGAACAATGTAATCAATTACGATTAAGATAAATCCATTTTTGTCAAATAAACCAAAATTGTCACCACATTTTTACCTTAGCATAGAAGTTTCTACTAATAGAATCTTATTTGCATGAAATGCATATGTACATGTTAAAATCAATGCAATGTCCAAGGAAATTGAAATAAACCAACTGAAAGGAAAATTGGCCACCTTCAATTAACTAGGAAATCCATTGGTAACCATGCTAGACTGATCAAGTTTCGTAAAAACCATGACCAAATACCATCTCTAGCTAATGATAACGCTACTTAATTTTTCAAGTGCCGCTAAGAGGAACCAAGCTATACTATTAAGTTGCACATTAAAAAAACCATTGAACAGAAAAATTGGTGACAAGCACAAATGACTTGCAAGCACCACAAGCCAAAGGTAGTGAAAGCTACATAAAATTTATTTCTAACCATAGTTTTCAAGGCACAAAAGCGAGGCTAGGTGACAAGGGAGCACCTTGTCTCCTAGTCACCTAGGCTCTGAACTAGGTTATGGGTTTTTTCAAGTAAAAACAATTTTCCCTAATAATTATCCATAATTTTCATAAGAAAAGTATAAACTTCATGTTAAAATATGGAAAATCAACATATTCATAAGAAAAAGAAAGAAAAAAAAAATTCAAAAAATATGGGGGCTGAACCCCTATTTTGTATTAGGAAAGAAGAAGAAGAAAATGCAGCATTTAGCAATGTTTGTGTTGATTAAACCTTAACAAATAAGAAAATAATAAAATGGAATTAGTATATAAACAGACAAAATGAATACTTTAGTTAAATAATGTCTATTTTATAATTATAATGTCAAAAAATTAAGAATATAAAAGCATTTTATAACACAATGTACAAAAATGCTTGCGATTAGGTGAGGCAAGCCTCCAAGGGCACCTTGTCACCTAGGCGTCTAGGCGTTGCTTTGACAACCATGTTTCTAACTATAATAACAATGTAGAAAGGGTACTTGTAAGTTTTCCTAGTGGGAAGCTTCATGGTAATTTTTAAATCTTTGTCTCTCAAACATGTCATTCTGTTTCTGTATAGAGTAAAACCACTAATTCAGTATTCAACAATAATTATAAATCCAAAATCCAAAGATCCATAAATAAAAGAGTTTATAGCATAGAGATTGTGGCAAGCCATGTCAAATATGCATTGCTAGTGACGCGAACTACTCTAAGTGCATCAAGTGATGGATATTAACATGACTCAGCCCATTTTACTGTTAGCTTAGCATCTTAATACATTGGCATCCTTAGCGCTCACCTACCCAACCAATAAAAAACCAAAAATAAAGAAATCCATACTGACCCATCACTAGACGTCTACCGCTGAACTGAATTTAACTCAAAGGTAAAGGAAAATAGAGATACGAGGAGAGAAAAACAGTACCCGCTATGTGTCTCAATAGCCTCGACCTGACGAAGAATGATCCACAACCAGAAGGTGATCATATGCCCGGGGACCATCGCGGGTCCAAGAAAGGACGGAATACCAAGGATCAAAATCTCAGCCCAGTGAGCGTATGGAGCTGCGAACCCAATCGGCGCCGTATACTCATGATGGACACGGTGGATCTTCTCATATCCCCATTTGTTATGCAGGAATCTATGGATCCAGTAATTTCCGAAATCCTCAACAAGAAAATACACGAACAGCTGCAGAACAATCTCCCACGCGGATGGCAATGGCAGACCCGTCCGAATCCCAATCCACTGCAAAGAGCCAACAAATAAGAACAACAAAAATGCTTTTACAAAAAGAACGAGTAAATTCCATGTAGGAAGCCCCAACATGGTAACAGAAAGAAAAGAAACATTACCTTGATAGTGGGGTAGGAAACGAGTTGTAGAGGACCAACGACGACGAAAAACATCCACATTACATCTTTATAGCATCTGAACATCTCTTGGAAAGACAACCTGATCTTAGGCTGCAGCTTGTACTTGCTTATGTTCTTAGATAGTTTTAGCTCTATGAAAACCAAGGGAAGAGGAACGAAAGAGAAGACACAGAATAGGAAGAGAAGGTTGTGGCAGTAGAGATAGTAATCCGACTTCTGCGCAGAGTAATTGAACCAGAGTTTCTCGGCCAGAGTCAGCTCCCTTCCGAGAGCCAACTCTGCTTCTTGCAAGCTCTGGTACGGCAGCATCTGGCAAACTCTCTCGCTCTTGCTGTTGCAGAGCAGAAGATCAAGATTACACAATGAACAAATACAAGAACTAGTGATTTGGATTTGTTAGGGTTTGGTTAAATTAACAGAGAGAGAGAGAGAGAGAGAGAGTGGACCGATTGAGAAGAGAAAAAAAAGGTGGCCAACAGAGCATTCCCCATTTAGGCCAAGAAAATAGGTTGTGAATAAAACCAAAAAAATAAAAGAATTAGTTGTAAAAACAGGCTGTGTGCTGCTTGGGGGCTTGGGGGGACGGGGGGACGGGGGAGGAAGACGATTTGTTCCGTCTCTCTCTTTTTTTTTTTTTGAAATAAATTAAAAGAAAAAAAAAAAAAGGAGTGAACAATATATGCCGTACGTGGCAATGGACATGAGTAACATCGAGACTTGGGAGTTGGGGGAGTATTTTATCTTCTTATGTATCGTGTCCCACCAAGCCAAATCCGTGTTTTGCTGCTGGTTGTTCGGTCTTAGAAAAGTGCCGAGAAAGCTGGGCAAAAGCAAAGCAGTTAAATTAAAAGAATGATCCACCGTCCATCTCTCATCAGTCATCAGCAGTTTGAGATGGGCCTACTATGATACGCCGGTCCCACACGCATGGGGTCGTCTCACAATTTGAGACAGTATCTTTCTTTGATAATCAGGTAAGGATCAGATCATGGTTTCTTTCTCTTTTTTTTTCTAATATAATATGTAAACACTATATAAATTTTGTTTTAATTAAAGAATGAAAGGTGGTGGGACCTACAGGTGGAGAGAAGAGGAGAAGAAAATCAAGCATTGCATGTGCAGGATACGATAAATCTCAACAATGGGACCGGGACATACACAGGTATATTCCCCTCTTTTTGGTCGTAAAGACCTTTGTTAATAAGTAATGTGATATGGTGATCTCATGGCTGCATTTTCGACGTTGAAGCAAGGATTCTATGCATTGGGATCCTCCAAACAGAAACAAAAACCCAGAGATGGGACACGCATGCACAAAGGGGTCTCTTAAGGATGGTCCTGAACCGAGCTCAAATTTTGACTCAAATATATAAACTTTTAATAAAGCTGAAATTGACATCATTTTTAATGTTGTTAACAGTGGGATATATATATATATATAGATGAAGAAATGGAAATGAGGAAGAGTTATTGGTGGAGGATAATTTGGACGAATAGTAGATGAAGTCGGCGAATTGATATGTAAGAAACAAGAGATTAGAGTGTTTGGGGGGTTTGGATTTTGGGTGAGTAAGTTAGTTTATTTAGAAAGCAAGAAAATTAGGGAATTCAAAAAACAAAAGAGCTGGTTTTTGTACTTAATCGTGTATAATTTGTGATTTGTGAAGGCATGGAGGTGACTTTTTTATAAGCCTCGGGATTCAAGAGTCGTGTGTGAGATATTTGAGAGTGATGGGCCTTTGGGGCATGTTGTATCAGTATTGGCAATGATCCTCATCAACATCCCTACCATGTGGATGATGTGTCGCCATCTATTTCAGAATCAATAGGCGTGCTAACCAAATAAGGGTAACCCACCACATAGGTAGGTACCCCAAAGGTTAACAGGCTACTCAATTTGTTGGCTGCCTAGGTTGGGGAAATCAAGTCGGCATTCAACTTGTTCTCCCAAAGTGATAAGCTCCACTCTATCGTGGAGCGACCCGCCGATCTTCCTTCAGTTGAGATATAAGCTGGCCTAGCGGCTTAGACCGACTTGGCCTAGTGTGACCTGTCCATTCATGGCGCCAAGGTGTCATTAAACGGTTTGGATTTGCCACATGTCTCTTTGTGATTGGTTAACCAGATTACCCCTCCTTAGGAACCGACCCATCAATAAAAGATTCTAGAACCAAAACTAGCCCAATCGGTTTGGGTCCATCAAGTTGAAACTGACCCATTAACAGCCCTACTTAGATTTTAGGTGGCATTCAAAAGTGTTGAATGAACCTCCATACCTCGAAATTTTTGCCTTTGGTGTTAGGGATTCATTTGGTGGCATCTTTGAATGCCTCTTCTAAAAATTAAAATGACCTTTGTTTCATTCATTGGTTCTACTACCTCCAAATGTGCTCATAGGTAGCATGTGGCACTTTCCTATTTTTCTAACAAGAGTACCTTTCTTATTTTCCTAACAAGAGTACCCCTTTATACTTTTGAATAATCCCATTTTACCCCACATTTATAACCCTAAACCTTATTTCTATTTTTTTACCAAAAAAATGGTATTATTCAAAAAATAGAAATAAGGTTTAGGCGGTCCAAGAAAACACAATAAACATAGTAGATCTGTAAAAGGGTAAAATAGGTATGTTGAAGAAGCTTTGAAAGAGATCTGTAAATGATGTGGTTGAAGAAGCTTTGAACAAGAGAAAAACTAAAAAAACACTAGATCGGCATCTATCTGATAGGTTATAAATGGAAAAATGAATAAGAAACCTCACCAGCACTAGAACGAGTTGAAAAAAGAGATCCATTGTTCTCTCAAATCTCCATTGTCAAGATTTCAAGTATATGTTTGGCATCAATGTTGTAGTTGCAACACCGTTTTCTCAACGGTGTTGTTGATGTGTGGCTTGGAGCACCGTTTTCTACCTTTTTTTTGCTTGGAATCGTTGTTACCATGTAGGAAATTTCCTAGAGCAACAACAACTTTTTTTGTTTGGAACCAATGCTTCAGGAAATGTTTTTTGCACTTCTACCCATTATCCATTGCCACATTACTGCCCTGTTGGCAGCAACGAGCTACAGCTCTAGGAAATGCCAAATTTGGCATTGCTCCAAGCCATGCCTTCCCGATTTCCAAGGCATGGCTAGGAGCACCGTTTTCTATGGAAAAAGCGGTTCCAAACAAAAGGTTGTTTCCTGGAGCACCGTTTTTTCCTACATGGTGCCGATGTGGTGTTGTTTTCTAGAGCATCACAACTTTGGTACTTCATCTAACTACTAATTGGGCACAACCATGATAACCCTGCCTAAGAATAGTCAGGGGTATTTTCGGCCTAAGAATAGTCAAAGTGTACCATTTTCCTAGTTACAATCAATTATGTGACCTTTGAGGGTCTCTGTGTAAATTATGTGGAAAACTAGAAAGTTTTCTAGGTTGAAGTACAATTTTTGGGAAGCTAGTGTGAAGACCAACTGAGAAATGGGGTGTTTTTGTAAAGAACTGAGAACAGGAGGGCGCCTCCTATCTACTAAACCCAGTTGGCGCCCATCCTATTGTATTACCATGCTCCCCTCTCCTTAACAAACCCTAGGGAGCCTTTTTAACCTAATATTTTCACTCTTAGCAAACCCTAGCCACCCCTAGGTGTTTAATCTCCACCCTCCACCTCTTTTAATCTCAATCACTCATTTTAGGGCTCTCCTTTATAGCTTTTAAACCAAAGAGCGTCACCTATTCTACTAATCCTCACCATTCAACCATCACCTCCAAATCTCAGCCACTCCCTTCATCTTATATCCCAACCATTCAATCTAGGGCACCACCTATTCTTTTACTCTTAACCCTTTAACCCTAAATGTTCTAATCTACATCCTCAATTTCTGGGCGCCCAAATCTTAGCCCTACATAATATTGGGTGCCCTCTCCTTTTATTTTCAGCTATAGGATCTCCCCAAAACCATCTTAGTCATCCATTAGAAACCCTAGGGCGTCCCTAACTTTGCTAAATCCCAATTGCTGCCCCCTATCTTTCTCCCTATTTCTAGTTGTGTCCACCCTTCTCTATAAAAAGGGTCCCAAGGGCCCTGTAGAAGGGGTTGGTCAATTCACTTAGGGGAAAAGGAAGGTTGATCTTGAGAAGTTCAAGGGTAGAGGAAGAGGAGGACGCCCAGGCAAGAGGAGGGATTCCTACTTGCAATTCGCCAACACCACTACTGCCACCTCTGGATTTGAATCCCAACCATTTTTTCTTCATTTTTAGAATTACTTTCTATTCTTTAATTTTCAGTTTAATTTTTTCTTCTTGCAAATTTATTTTTATTAGATTTAATTTGTGTTTTATTTCTTTTCTACAGATCTGAAATTCAGCTAGGTAAGACGGAAGGCCTAGCTTGAGAAGTTCGAGGGTGGAAGGAGTGATCCGGAAACTGCTACCTCTGATCGGATTTTCAGACATTTTTATTTTGTTTCTTTTATTTAGTTGTTTATGTTATTTATTTATTTTTATGCACTTGTTATTCTCACTACTTTTCGAATTTGGTTTTAATTAATTAATTTTTTATTTTTGCAACTCCCACTTGCGTTCTCTTCTCCCGGATCTAAGAAAATATTAAAATTTCCCTCGCTTCCCTATGGAGACGACCCATTCTCACCTATTTACTACGTTAGTAGTTGTTTGAGAATCGGTAAAATTCTATAAATGTTTAAAGTGGTGTTCCGGAATGTTTAACGACGCGCTTCCGGACACACCAAACCACAAAGAAGTTTTGAGCAAGGTAGAGTCTATTAAGCAACAAGGAAAGCTAGATCACCATTTGCAATGATCGGGAATCTCTCGCCATGAGTTCTCAGGCGGTAGGATTAAGTGTGACACTCTCCTTGTGCATAGTTAGATGCTCAAACACTCAAATAGACGCTTGGATAGTTGGACTTTCAAATCTCAGATAGTCGTTACTTAGACAATCGTTTTGGTGGATGAGGGTGTAAACTCATAGCTTGTTTTCCTCGATGGAAGAAGAGCGTGACTTTTTACTTCAAAAAAATCAAAGTAGTTTTTCACCCCCAATTAGACATGTTCATGGGCCAGGTCGGGTTGGGCTTGTATATGTATTGATAGAATACACTCAGGCCTGAGCTTGAGTCCAGCCCGACCATGGGGCCTAGGTCTTGACCCAAGCCCAGTCCTCCTATAAAGCTCGAAGCCCAGGACCAAGCCCGAGCCCGACCATAAATTTGAAAATAGAATTTTTTTTCTTTTTTGTTCAATAAAAATTATTTTATTTATATTAAAAACCTTCAAAACTCAAAAATAATAAACATCTCACTATTACTTGGAAAAAAAGAGAAGAGGAACAAAGAAAAAATATTGTATATATATATTTTTATTAAATAAAATAGATTTTTGTTATTTAATATATAATATCAAGTTGGGCTCGGGCTTGAGCTGGTTTTTTTTAAGAAAGCCTGAGCCCAGTCCAAAAAAAGTCAGGCCCGAGGCTGAACCCACAGGCATAAAATTATGACCAAGCCTGACTTATAATGGACTGAACCGAACCAACCCATCAGGCTACCCGGCCCATAAAAGGTCTACCCCCAATATCGATGCAA